TTTTTAAATTTACTGTTTAATAAAAATTTTAAAATTATTAGTAAGTTCGAAAATAACAGTTTGTTTGAAAAATATCATTGGAAATTTTTTAAGTTTGTTTGAAAATTGATTGAAATTTACGAAATAAAAAGTTGAAAATGTTTTCTAAATATTTAAATATCAATTCTAATTGATTAGGCCGATTGTTTACACAAATCCGGAAATTTGTGCGACTTCAAGCGAAATATCACTTACACAAAATCGTAATATAAATTCTGACTCATTTTCTGATACGATGTTTCATATTTGAACGACCTTCAAAAAATTTACAAGGACCTTCTATATTCCCAAAAATAATGAACAAAAACATGTCTAAGTAAAACCTATAGAAAATTCTGCCAAGTAAAATTCTCCAAGACTTTGCATACAAATTTGTAACGAAAACTCGTTATTTATGCATACTAATATGATTAATATATATTGCAAAGTTATATCTAAGTATTATACTAAATATTATGTATTTATTATTGTAACGAAATTTCAAGGACATTTCAATAAGTGCACAAAATATGCATCCAGGACACTACACTTACACAAAACCTATAGAAAATTCCCCAAGACTTTGCATACAAATTTGTAACGAATACTCAATTTTGCATACTATATGTTTATTATGTATTGCAAAGTTATATGTAAGTATTATAAATTTTTTCTACTTACGATTTTGGCCAAATTCTGAATGATAACAGACACTTTTACACGACGAAAGTAATACCGGTACTAAGTACTTGAGGTTATGTATTTTCTGGCAAACAATGAGAAGCACGTGGTCTAAATTGTTCTGCAAAATTCCGGAGGATGGCGACACAATTTAATAGGAATCGAATAGGATTTCAAAATTCAAATAAGATTAAAATATACAAAGTTGACTAAATTAAGATATAGTATGATAAGATCCAATATAACTAAATACTAACAAAAACATACTTGCCAAACTATCACTATTACCAAAACAATGACATAGTCTAAGTAATAATTAATTGAAACATTAAACTAAAATTTACAATTGCATATATGTAAGTAACATGGCATTCAAAAAACTAGTGGTGTATGGCATTGTGCCTTAAGGCAAATTGCTGGAACTTCCCGTACCGTAACAAAATATTCGAGAAATTTTAAACGTTTTCAATTTATTATACAAATACTGTAACTTTCATCATTTTTGCTATCTTGTTATATGAGCAAATCAAATGTAAATCATAAATAAATCAATTCATCTCAGAACATTAACAATCGTCATTTCATTTCGAATTTAATTTAAAAAAAAAATGTTGCCTAATTTACACAAAATTGAAAAAGTGCTCCCGTATAGTTACAGTCTAAACGCATTTGTCGCATAATTTTGTACGACATTTTCACTATACTGTGCTTAGCTTGGCGGCATTTCACATTTTCAATAGTTTTCACAAAATTGGAAAATCTCTCCAGTACATTAACAATCTAAACGCACTCGGGTAAACATTTGTACCAGAGTGGTGCTTAGACAGTGCTTAGCTGGGTAATTTTTTGCATTTTTAATCCAAAATTACAAAAATATTTTTGGAAAAAAAAATTAGAAACAAATTTTTTTTTCAAAATTATTTTGTTGAAACAAGCAGAAGTTGTTGAATCATTTAAAAAGGACGCTTAGTTCTCTCAAAAAACTGCCATTTTTTACACATTTAGCTCCGTATCTTTGAAATGGCTAGGCCACCTTTGCCAAATACTAATAAACACTTCTCCCAATCATTACTAATTGACTGTTCTTCAGATCATTCAAATCGGATACTCCGTTCTCTCAAAAATTCGATTTCTATTTTCTGCACTCTTCGCTCCGTATCTCCGTAACGGCTGGATCTGCCTCTGCCAAAAACTAATCAGCACATCTCCCTATTAATAGGAATCGAATGTTTTTTAAGCCATTCAAATCGGTTGATCCGTGCACCCAAAAACATGGACGAAATAATGACATAGTCCAAGTAATAATTAATTGAAACTTTAAAACAAAATTTACAATTACATATAAGTAAGTAACCTGGCATTTGAATAATAACATAAATTTCTTCTCAATTAATTAAAATATTCCATTGAAATTCGAATAATATTTATTATAACACCCAACACTCAAATATTCACAAAAATATTTGTACATCTTACATTTATAATTTCAGTAATTACACATATTATTTATTTTTATTATTATTATAAGCACAATCAATCAATATACATTTTGTATAAATAATATTTTACATATATATTTTTCTCTCGAAATTTTTTTATCCTGTACTTATAAAAGTCAGTAAATAATTTTTTAAATTTACTATAATTAGTGAAATGTATAGTTTGGTCCTTTTAGGTATTGACGATCCATTTTTTTGATAGATTTTTTTGTGCAGATTGTAAATAAAAAGATATAAAAAATTATGTATGTTATGTAATAATAATGTCAACATTTGTTATTGAATTAATTAATAACTTATTAAGCTTGTTTGAAAATTTAAGATATCTCAAATTCAAAAATACTTTAGTATGATTAAAAATAATCTTTAGCATCATTATACAAAATATTATTAATATTGAAACAAATACGTTTTTAAATCATTGTGACGTTTAAACGTTCTTGTTACGTTATGTAACATTTAATTTTTAATTTGTGAATGTTTCAAATTGCCTAAATATTCTTCACTGATATAATAATATTTAAAAAAGCAGATTTTTGTAAATAACAATATAAACAAAATTATTTGCAAAAAATCGAGACGTAAAACAATAACAAAACAAACTGGTTTTTAAGTCTATTTTACGTTTCTAAAAGTATTGTTACATTTAAACAACGTTCTTGTTACGTTATGTAACATTTAATTTTTAATTCGTGAATGTTTCAATTTGTCTAAATATTTTTACAGATAAAAATATATAAAAAATGACAATACAAACAATTTTATTTGTAAAAAATATCGAGACGTAAAACAATAACAAACAAACTAGTTTTTAAATTTATTTTACGTTTCTAAAAGTATTGTTACGTTTAAACAACGTTCTTGTTACTTTATATGACATTTAATTTTTAATTTGTGAATGTTTCAAATTGTCTAATAATTATTTTTTTTGTAAGTAAAATTAAATTATAATTATAATGAAACAAAATAATGTATAAAGTCGTTTTAAAAAACGTTTTATAATAGTGTTACGTTAAAATAACCTGTTTGTTACGTTTGGGCAATAAAATGTAACATTGTATGAATTAATTTCTTCAAATCATATTATTTTTTTTATAATTTTCAATTTAAAATTAGAACCTTTAATTATAATATTATTTACATAAGTAATTTTTAGCCAAAAATAGAAGAGGCAAAATAACGTATAAACTGATTGTAAAACAAAAACAAAACAAACATGTTTTTTACGCATTGTTACGTTAAAATAACGTTTAAGTTACATTAAACAATAAAATGCAGAACTGGTTGAAAACAATTCTATGATTCATATCAAATTTTTAATATATTATTGGTGAACTTTATGGATAAAATTATTTTTTCAAATTTATATTAATTTCTTGTCCGAATAATTTTCTTTCATAAACTATTAATTACAAAAGTGCATTTTTTATGAAATTTAGGAAATTAACGTTCTTGTTACGTTTGGAAATTAAATGCAACATTGAATAAATATAATTTTTATAATTCATATAAAATTTTTGATAATATTCAATTTAGAATTAGAATGTTTCAAATTATGTGAATATTTTTTGCTGTTAGAATAAATGTACATTTTTGTGAATTACAGTAAAAAAACAAAATAATAGGTAAATCCGAGTTGTAAAACAATTACGAAACAAACACGTTACTAAGATATTGTAACGTCAATGTTAATTAATATAACATTAAAATAACTTAATTTCTCATTTATATTAATTTCTTTATAAATATCAATTTCGAATTAGAACGTTTCAAATTATGTAAATAATTATTTCCTATTAGAATAAATGAACATTAATTATGTAATATCTGTAAATGTAAATTACAGAAAAAACAAAATAATGTTTAAAATCCAGTCATGAAACAATTACGAAACAAACACGTTGTTTGGACATTGTTACGTTTAAAACACGTTTTAATTACGTTTTAGGGATAAAAAGTTGCATTGGATGAAAATTATTTACGTCTTTACGTTTTATTTGTTTAAATTGATTTTTTAGGTTATATTAGTGTTTTATAATTAACTAAATAATTTTGAACACAATTTTTTGCAAACAAGTTGGAAGTTATTAGTTTTGAAAACATAAAAATTGTTGTGTAAATTGTCGTACATTAAATGTACTCCAATTGATTCTTTTATACTTTTAGAAGTTCCTAACTTTCAAGTCTATATATTCGTATCATACATATATATATTTTTTTTATATATATACACATTGTAAACATTTAAAATTTTTCAAACTGTACAAAAATTATGATAGATATAAAGTTTAGATTAAATATAATTGACAGCATAGTTTTTTTCAGAAGCTAGGCGACAGCATTTTTATAATAATTATAATATAATTTTATATATATATATATATATATATATATATATATATGTATATTATATATATATTATATATATATATATATATATATATATATATATTATATATTTAACCTGTATATTTTTTATACCTATACCTATAAATATTACATGTATACAAATATTACATAATACACCATTGATTGTCAAGAGAAATAGATACATTTAAGTTACAATGGAGTTACATTATGAAACCGGTGTAAAAATATTTTTAGGACTTATAATGAATAAAAATAAATACTAATAATATTGTAATTAAATTAAAAAAAGTTTAAAAGTTAAATTGGTTAAAAAAAACTTGGGAATTAATTGTAGTATTTATTTACTGTGAAAATTGTGAAAATATCTATCAAGTTGCGGTGCGATCAGGCGTATTTTACATAAAAACAAGCCCGGGGGCATGTTCGATTAACAGAATTTTCGTTTATATATAAAATACGCCTGATCGTACAACAACTTGATACACATTTTCACAAATAAAGAGACAAAACTGGTCCCAGGTTTAAGGGTATAGCATATTTAGAAAAACTTCTACTCACCAAGTCAATATACATGTTTTGGAAAAATCCAATTGAGATTCTTTTAATTTAATTAAATACATATATACATACTTCAAAAGTTGGCAGTTGGTTTAAAATGTCCTTAAATTTACCATCCGACATCCGATTACGCTGATGAGAACCTAAGTTTTTGTTTTTTCACAAATTCTATGGCCATTCGATCACCTGTTCTGGATTCCAAAATTTGTAAAATAGGATTCTCTGGAAAAATAAAATAAATGGTGAATAAATAGTTATAAATTTTGGGTAAAATATGATTTATTACGTTTGTCGTGTTGATGCATCAATGGAAGATCAACGTGTTTTAAACCATGAAAGTTTTCGACACTGGAACTTCCATCAGCTACTCCTGGAATGTTGCCTAGGGCCAGAAAAGCCTTGGAAAATAATAATTTTTAGAATTATTTAGATCCTAAATTTAGTATCCAAAAATTTGGCACTAATTTGGCTATATATTGTCTGCAGTATAGGATTTTGGTGACAAATTTAGGAGATGGTGATGATGGTAAGTCTGATCAAACTAGGATGATGGTAAATTTATGTAAAATTTGGACACAAAATAGAAATTTTTAACTATATTAGGAGATGCTGGTGATGGTAAATCTGTTTGACTGTGTACAAAAACTTTCTAGATTATGCCAGGGTCACCAATTTATAACAATGATGGTAAATCCTTCTAAAAGTCGTTAACAAACCAGGATTTTCTAACTAAATTAGGATATGATGCTAGTAAATTTGTATTAACTCTGTTTTTTAATATTGTACAACTTTCTAGATCAAGTCAAGGTCACCAATTTGTAAGAATGATGGTAAATCTATCTAAAAGTTGGTGACAAACCAGAATTTTCTAACTAAATTAGGAGAAGGTGATGCTGATAAATCTGTATTGACTCTCTTCTTTAATGTTGTACTGCTTTCTAGATAATGTCAGGGTCACCAATTTGTAAGGATGATGGTAAATCTATCTAAAAGTTGGTAGCAAACCAGAATTTTCTAACTAAATTGAGAAGTAGTGATGATGGTTAATCTGTTTTGACTGTATTAATCCTGTTTTTTAATATTATACAACTTTTTTGATCATGCCAGAGTCACCAGTTTATATGGATGATGGTAAATTTATCCAAAAGTTGGTGATAAACCAGAGTTTTCTGACTAAATTAGGTGATGGTGATGATGGTAAATTTGTATTGACCTATGTTCTTTAATATTGTAAAACTTTCTAGATCAAGTCAAAGTCACCAATTTGTAAGGATGATGGTAAATCCATCTAAAAGTTGGTCACAAACTAAATTAGAAGATGGTGATGCTGGTAAATCTACATTGTTTTTTGATATTGTACAAGTTTCTAGATCAAGTCAAGGTCACCAATTTGTAAGGGTGTTGGAAAATCCATATAAAAATTGATGACAAACCAGAATTTTTTAACTAAATTGAAAGATAGTGATGATGTTAAATCTGTATTGACTGTAAACTTCAATATTGTACATATTTCTAGATCATGTCGGGGTCACCAATTTACAAATTCATTTACAAAAAATTGAGGATGATGGTTAAAACCATCTAAATATGGTAACAAAGAAGAGATTTCTGACAAAATTTGGAGATAATGATGATGGTAAATTTTTAGTGACCTAGTTCTTTAGCATTGCACAATTTTCTAGATCGTGTCGGGGTCACCAGTTTGCAGATTTATTTATAAAAAACGAATATTAATAGTTAAACCCATCTAAAATCTGATAACAAAGAAGAGATTTCTGACAAAATTTGGAAATGATGATGATGGTAAATTTGTAGTGACTCTGCTCTTCAGCATTGTATAACTTTCTAGATTATGTTGGGTCACCAATTTACAAATTTATTTATAAAAAATGAGGATAATAGTTAAACCCATCTAAAATCTGATAACAAAGAAGAGATTTCTGACAAAATTTGGAGATAATGATGATGGTAAATTTGTAGTGACTCTGCTCTTCAACATTGTATAACTGTCTAGATCATTTTGGGGTCACCAGTTTGTAGATTTATTCATAAAAAATGAGGATAATAGTGAAAATCATCTAAAAGTTGGTTTTTGAATTTTGTGAACAATCTTAGACGTTTTTGGTTTATCAGAAAATGCAGTAAGATATACTGGACAGCAATGATTTTCCTCCAATTTAATTAGGTTGGATAAAAGACAAAAGAATGATCTTACAAATTCAGGAAGATACAAAATTGTTAAGTTTTTTGGTAAATTGTTTTTCAATTGCTTGATGAATTTGTGACCAGAAAATTTCCTAATAATATAAAATTCATGCAAAGATTGTCTCATTTTTCAGACAAAAACATTTTCCACCCAGACAATTAAAACAAACGAAAAAATCATCATCTTGGTCTCTAAGAAATATTATTGCTACTATTTTACCTCTCCAGCAAAATCATTGGCAGTCAATACATCATGATCCATCACAGTAAAGCAACCATTGCACCTTCTGATCTGCACTGATCTAAGGTTACAGAAAACTCAAAACATTCATCAAAAATTGGATTCAGGGTCTTTTTGTGGACGTTTGTGTGTTGCTCACCACAATGTGCAAAAACCTAAAAAAGACATTATCATTAATTTTTGCTAAAAATAAACCATAGGTAAGATTGTATTTATATGATTCAGTTAATCG